TATATGATATTTTGATCGGTTTATTTACAATCTCTATATCACAAATGTAAAGGTAATGTTATTTATTTCTCTTTCAATCAGTTTATATATCGGAAAATATTTCTTTCTTATTATTAAGAGAAAGAGAGAGAGAGAGAGAGAGGGGGGGAGAGAGAGAGAGAGACGACTTCCAACAATAATTTATATTTCTATTTCGTAGCAAAAAACACTTTTGCTAAGGAAAAGCCGACTATATACATGTATTTTCATCAAACAGGTTACCGATACAATGACAACAATGACAAAAAATATTTATGATCATGTGTTTTCGAAACATGAAATACGCGCTTGTAACGAAAAAATAAGATTGGATACATCAAATATCTCTTTAATATTAAATATTTAATATTAAATTTTATATTTATTTTATATTTAATATTAAATATTAAATATAAAGTATATTAAATAATATATTAAATTAATATTAAATATAAAATATTCTAATTTTACGTTAAGTCTTTTTTTGTCCTTTCTTCTTGTGGTCAAATAATCGACATTCTCATTTATTCACATCTTAATTATTTCCATGGTTTAATTCTTTAAGACACCAAATTAGTGGCAGAGAGTGTATCCTCAGTGTCAACAGTACATTTTCGACAATATGAATTAAAACATCGTATTATTCTGGCATATCTACGATAATCCTCGCACAATTCATTTTCTTTGTGACATCTGCAGTGTTTCAAAGTCGAGAGCCACGCGTTAGGTTAGGTTAGAGTCACTCGATCTAATACAAAAATTCCAAATATCGGATCGGGGTTCTACGTGCCCTTAATCGTTTACTCACCCGCGACTATCAAGCTCAACCGAAATATCCGCGAGTCCCATTCAAAATTTTCGTCGCTAACGCGTAGAGGGATCTCTGGAATGCGAGAACGAAAGGCGGGAAGCGGCCGGGTTCGAGCCGCCCTGCGAAATGAAGGCGCGCGCTCTTTCGGAGTAACCTTGCGCGGAGCGCGGAGTCTGCGCGCGAGGGGGAGGAACTCACCTTTTGGAGTCGACACGCGCACTTCCGCCGCCGTCTCGATGAATGAAAACGCGCACCTCTTCCGCGCGTGGCCGCTGCTACGCACGTGCGCGAATCCGCGATGTCCTGCGAGGGAAACACTGGCGCGCGCGCGCGCGCAAAGAACACGTAAGGAGACGAAAGGACGTTCGGCTAGAGTAAAGTACACGTACGTTTACACGCGACGCGCGCAACACACACCTTACCTCGCGAGCGGCCGTCGCGACACTGAATGCGCCGCGGACACCTGTCGCCTTCGGCCGACGGTGCCGCCGCCGCGCGGCTGAACCCCCTAACTCCCCTCACCCCACTCGCGCCCGCGCCCTCGCCCGCGCGCTCGACCGTGGTGGCACCCTGCCTGAATTCGCGCCGGTGTTCAATTTGAACATAATTTGCGCACTGAAAAAAAAATCTGATTGCATTAATTAGAATTTTGGTAGATTCAGCCAGTATGTCTGTTGGAAAATGGACGAACTAAATTCTTGTAGGAATTACCAGATGAATCTGATTAATTTCTTCCTGTTAAATTTACCAAATTTTCTGGTTAATAATACTAAACTCGCCAGCACCAAGTCGACTAAAATTTTTTCCATCTCAAAAGTCTATTTAATATTCTGAATTCCAACAAGATTATTGGATAAATTCAATTCAGATTATTGAATAAATTATTTTAAATTTAGTTTGTTAAATATTAGACTGATAAACAGTGCACTGAGAAAAAAATCTGGTTGCATTAATTAGAATTATGGTAGATTCAGCCAGTATGTCTGTTGGAAAATGGACGAACTAGATTCTTGTAGGAATTACCAGATGAATCTGATTAATTTCTTCCTGTTAAATTTATCAAATTTTCTGGTTAATAATACTAAACTGCCCAGCACCAAGTCGTCTAAAATTTTGTCCATCTAATCTCAAAAGTCTGTTTAATAATTTGAATTCCAACAAGATTATTGGATAAATTCAATTCAGATTATTGAATAAATTATTTTAAATTCAGTTTGTTAGAAATTAAACTGATAAACAGTTATGTAAGAAGAGGATGCAGCTAAAACACACACAGTCAGAGAGCTAGCGTCCTCTTTCTAACACTACTGCTCGTAAGAGAAAAAAAATATACTTTGGATTTAATGTTAATACTAGTTCTTTATATACATTTCATAACAAATATTGAATACGAGTTAAGTTAAGAGTGGCAAGCAAAGAAATTAATGTAACAAGAAATTTTATAGATCCAACCAGAAAATACTAATCAAATCCTTATAGTAAAATCTATTAAACGTTCTAGTTATAAAAAATCGAGTCTTATCATGATAACTAGAAATTATTGTTTGATTTAATCAAAATGCCTTCAATCATATATGTCTTGTTGGTACAAACGATTTTTCTCAGTGCGGGAATCCACGATTTTTATACATTTCACACGTAAAATTATAATTCTAGAATTGTTTTGAGAATTATAATTTTCAAATAATTTTATAATTCTATAATTGTTTTGAGAATTTAATGTGATAAATGCACGATTCTATTCTATGATTTAATGAATTTGTGTTCTTACATAGAGTTTCACATCCCAAGTAGAACATGAAATTTATAATGACCTATCATTATCACCTAAAAGGTGATTTGAAGGTCTCATTTGATATACTTTTGGTATACTTTTGATATACTTTTAATGTTTTGGTGATTTATTTTTGATATTATATAGATTATATGTATATATATTATAGTATATATAGTATGTATATGTATTATATGTATATTTTAATTATATTTAAGCAACATAATCTTTTTAAAATTATATAATGCTATTATTGAACTTAAAAATTTATGGTTCTTTTTGTCATCTTTAATTCATTTTTCAATCATTTTTGTTTAGGTAACTTTTAAGTGATAAATAAAATCATGATGACGTCATAATGATGTCATTATGAGTTTCATGTTCTACCTGGGATAGGATTAAATATATAAAATATATATGGAAATGTATTATAATTTTTTGGGGTTATTTTTTGTTTGTCTTGATATAATACAAATTCTTTATTTTAATATCTCGTACGATGTAAAGAATCCTTTCTTTTTTTTAGAATTTAAGTTCTTTCTAAATTCTTCTTTTAAATTCTTTTTAAATTCTTTTTAAATTCTTCTTTTCAATCCTTTTTAAATATGTATTTTATTAAAAAAATATTTACATATTATATTCATAGGAAGCATTATATTACATCGAAATAGATTTTGGATAATTTGAAAAATTTGAAATGTCTTATATATATAACGAACGAGTTTAAAAACTTTTGATAATATAAAAAAATTATATATATGATGATAATTTTAATCATATTATCTACATTTAATTTTGTGTATATGGACAAATATATTCAAAAGTTCTAAATTAAATAAAGTTTTTTTACTAATAAAAACATGTAATCAATATTTAAAAATATAATATTTAAAGATTGCTATTAAACGCTATAATTTTTGCAATATACTATTTGCTAATTAGTTTATATTTATATATATAAAATACATATATGTAAAGAAATTATAGCATTAATAACAACGACTAAGATAAAAATGAAAAATGATTTTAAAAAATTGCCGTACAAAAGATCTACCGAAGAGAAAGAAGATAGAGAATGACTGAGAGAAATGACATTTGTGCAGTAAAAAAATAATCGGCCAGCGCAATATGATATGAAACTGCAAGCACGGTTATACGTATTGTCGGCTGCGTATTACAAACGACTTTTCATAGTGAAGAGTTCAAATAACACAAAAGGGGTTGTTGAGCCTATAGAAACGAGATGGAGGGTTCATTGTAAAGGAGGATACTAAAGCTGCCAACTCATAAAAGCGGCAAAATATAAGTGACTTTTGCATCACGATCCAACAATTATATTGCATTTACATTGTAACATAAAATTTATCCTATTTAACTATTTACATTATTTTTATTTATGCTTGTTTATGTTATTTATATTTATTCATAATTTATGTTATAAATTATGAAGGCAAATTAAAATGTATATGTATATATGTATAATTTATAGGCACACACAGACATACATTTTAATTTGCGATTAATTCGTAAAACATTTATATCTCTTATTCATGTATTATAATATATGTATTATAAAAAATTATTTTTGATAATTTTTTTATCACGCACAAATAGAATTTGCATTATTCTAATAATTTTCATAATTTATAATCCTATTGTAATAAAATTAAATCTTTAAACATTAATGAAAACTGCGACGACATTATAAGTAATTATTAATTGAGATGTAATAAACGAAGAACGAAGCAATTACTCAATGAACAAGACTCCTTTGTTGATTCTGCTTTGTATGCAATACAAAAAAAAGTGTAGAAGGGTAGCCAGAAGCTCTTTCGTGCATCCCTCGCGAGAAATAATAATGCTACACACACTTTCACACCTCTTGATCTCATCCATTCTCTCGTAAGTCTTTGTTTCAACAGACTTTTCTCTGTTTTAGTCTCCATTCATTGCCATACGACTATTAGAAATATCGAGATGCGAAAGAAAGAGTAAATAATAAATATAAATTGAATTAATAAATATAAATAAATGCAATTTAAAAAAATATATATAAAAATTGTGTCCTCGCTATTTTTTATATAAGATTAGTTATTAAATTTGTTGCATCTATTCTAGAGAACATTCATTAGAAATTCTTTAAAATGTATTTTGAGCACAATATTAAACAATACTGCTTATTTTATTATTATTTATCATATTATATTCGATACAACTCAAAGCTTTTAATCAATTTGCTTTTTTAATTTTCTTTTGTTTACATTCTTAAGCTTTGTACTATTATATTAATTTTTCGTGTTTTATTACGTTTTCTTCTCTTTATTTCTTTGTAGATTTTTAATCAAATAAAAGCATTATAGACATCAACACACTATAATTTCACATGACAAAACTTACCGGAATGTAGCCATCGGGTTGAATCCTCTTATTATCACTGAAAAAAAAATATAATTATATGCAATGATGTATATTATATATAATCGTTAAATTATACAGAGATATAAAATATATATGCAATTTAAAATTCGTTAAGTTCATACCGAATTATCATTATGAAACATACCGGTTTCTTCGTTGAATCACCGGTGTTTTCGGTGTACTATCATGAATAATCACCTGAGCCGCATCTATTTCTTCGCACTCTGAGCTGTTTTCAGAAATATCTGCAAAAACAAAAATATTTTATATTTATATATTTAAAATACTTTAACATTTTTACGCTATCTTTAATTTTATATTAATTAATTTATTACATAATATAGAAATAAAATTAAAAATAAAATTAAAAAATTAATAAATCAATGAATCTTGCTTTATGCATACAGGAATATGAATTCAATTAATGCATATGTAATACATATTTAAATATTTAATTTTGTGCATATTTCCTACAAAAATCTTAATACTCTATATTTTGTATTTTTAAATTAATATATCGAGCTTATTTTTCACTTTACTATCATTTTACGTTATTGTATATTACGTTTCAATATTATGGTAAAGATCTCCAGAGATTTAATCCACTTTGTTGAACACGATTCGATACATCTGATATAGGCTGGACTAATATAAGCTGGATACGATAGCGTCTATCGCTAAGTGACATTAAATTCATTCTCGACTCACCCTCTTCGACGCGTTCCTGTTTACGAACACGGGAGAGAACAGGACTGTGGCATGGAATAGCTGTATCACCGAGCATGTCGTCAATGTCAGTATGCTGACCAATGAACAATGGCAAGGTGGAGGGTCGTTTCCTTGGTGATAATCTTCGAGGTGTCGGCACATTGTCATAAGGTGAGTTCCGTCCTCCATAATTGTCCGGCGGGTCAGGTGGATTTTCGATCTACAACAGAAATATCGAATTCAAATTCCCTCATAATTTCTGTGATAATTTATGCAATAATTTGAATAAATCATTTACTTTTTAATCGTATCTCATTTTTCAAAATATAGATGATAAATGCAGTAATGTAATATACTGTTACGCATCAATATCGATATTATTTTTAATATGTAATAATAATAAAGAATAAAATAATATTTATAATAATTATAATTTAATATTTGAAAAAAAAGAGATTGTGATAATAATTAATTAAATTGTGATATTAATATAACATAATTATAGCATTTTTATAACATAATTATAACACTTATCATTGATTCTTATTATTTTAAATATTAATGACAGTTATTAATATTAATATTAATATTAATATATAAAATGATACTAATATTAATATTTAAAATAATAAGATTTAAATGATAAATGATATATTATTTAGGCAATTGAAATATTCATTTTCATCAATCCCTTTCTTCAAATATTAAATTTTAATTATTTAAAATAATCACATAAAGATAAAAATGCTCTTAAATTATAAATTTTAATTTTCTATATATTTTTCTTAAATAATTCAATACTTGTAATAATTTAATTATGAAAAAGTAAGAAATAATCTAAAAACTTCATTTTATTATTTAGTAATATGTTATAAATAATATTTTATTAATAGTCTAATTATAAATGTCATAATTTTATCTATCTCTTTTGTTTGAATTAATTTAATCTTTCACGATCAGAGATTTATGGGATTGCACGAAGCCGTTATCAGAATGATGTATAATGCTGAGAGATTACGCGATGAATACCGCTGATATAACAATTAATTTTACCCCTTCTGGACTCGCACGATCTCCCAACGGCTCCTCGGATGGTGGTGGTGGAAATTCGATAGGAAATCTAGAGAGACTTCTCTTCATGCGCGTCTCAAGTTCAGGGTTAACACCGATATCGATCTTCTCGTACGACTCGGAGGAGTCGGAAGTGCTGTTGGAAGTTTCCACGGGGATCCTGACAACCCCGTCAGGAACATTCGAGGAGCTGTCCATCCACCATGCCTTCTCCCCGGATTCAATATGCCGAATCTTTTTAAGCGGCTTTGAAGAATAGAGGCTCTCGTTATCGAAGCCATCAGGTTTATCGACACTTTGACTATCGGGAGACGCCACAGGGATGACCTCTACGCCCTCCGGAACGCTCTCGGGATCATCGCTCATCCACCATGCTCGTTCACCGGACTGCTGACGCTTGATGCGGTTTCGTCGATCAGCTGATCGAAAACTGCCTCGACTGGAACCTCGTCTCGATACGGGAGATGCCGATGAGGGTGATCTCTTTGTTTCTTCCGTTGAAACATCGTCCAACCACCAAGCACGTTCTCCCGATTCTTGTCTCCAAAATTTGAGTTTACATTTCCCTGCAATAAATAAAATAATAAGCAAACACTTGAAGAAACTGAATTAGAAAAGATTTAAAACATAAAAAATGGATGAAACTTTACGTAAATATAATTTGTTTTGTTCTAAATACAATTTGTTTATCTTAAGATTATTAAGATAATTATTAAATTGCATTTTATTTGTATTTTATTAATTATATTGTATTTTATTAATTGTATTGTCTTATTATATAAAATTTTATATTCTTATTGTTTATAGATTGCAATCTATGGTGACACGTATTTAATCTAGATAAATAATAAAAGATAAATAGAGGATAAATAAAATGTAGATAAATAAATAAAATATTATTATTTAAAAATATTACAAATAATTAAACATGAGCTTACCATCATCTGGTAAAGCTATACTGATGGTTGTGTCCTGACTGGCGTCTTCGTTCCATCGATTAGCCTTTTCAACTCCCTCTGGAACGTTATCAGAATTTGAATCCAGCCACCATGGTTTTTCGCCAGAAGATTGATGTTGAATCCTCGTATTATTTTTTTTTATTTCGTCATTCTTCTCGAAATTAGTAAAACTAGAGCCCTTTGACAGACTCTGGCTGAATGATTTTGAAGCCGACATCGACTGTTCCGACTTGTTACGGGCTTCGTAATTCTCGTCGTTGGAATCAACCCAACTACCTGATTTACTTGCATCACCCGATTCTTGACTTCTGTTCTTGAAAAAATTCGTCACTGGTGCTAGCGCTCTCATCAGAAACGATTTGGCTTCTTCCGTTTTCGCGGCACGATCACTTTTCGATCTTGGACTAGACGGTGGCCTGGGTGGTTTCTCCGACATCATAGAAATCTCATCAGCCGATGATGCCAACACGCTTGTTCTCGAGGATCCCGCACTGATCTTACCTCTTATTTCGAGCGATTTAGGTGATTCTGACGCTCGTTTTCTTCTTCGTTTCGAATCCGACCTGTCTGCATGTTCATCATTATCCTCGCTGCTGGACGAATTTGTGGAGGTCGACTGGCTGCTAGACACAAATACCCCAGACGGCCTCTTTTTCGTTCCACAAGGTGACTTTGATTCGTTTCTCGATTCCTTCCATTTCATCGAGCCACTTGAACCGCTCCTTCCGAGCTTTGATCTTCCCGAAAGAGTTATTAATCTAGATTGACCAGACTTCATCGAAGGTTCCGAACAGACAGTCTGGGGAATGTATTCCGTGGTCATCTCGGAATTCTTGGAGCTGGCACAGATAGTTTTTTGGCTCTTCTTCCTTCTCGCACACTTGGAGCGCGACGGATCGCCGTTCTCCATGTTCAAGGTCGACTTACGGAAATCTTTGTTCACGTACTTCGCTGCCACGATGCACTTCGACGTGGCAGCGGTCGTAGCATCGTTTTTCGGCACAGGTGGTTTGCCGCGCGCGTCCGGCGAACCGCCTTGTCGTAGATTCACTGATGGCGGGATCAAACCGCCGGATGACTTGCCGGACGATGGCGGCGTCGTCGTCTTTATTTTTACACTCTGACTCGTCACCGAACTGGTTGACGATGACTTCGATCTGCCAATTGGCATATTTACAGATCCATCCGATGAACCGGTACGTGTCATTTGACGCGACATATTCCTCATCGATCCATTCCGAGATTGCGGTGTCGAGCGACTTTGTGATGAACTACTTTTAATAAAAAGATTAATTACTAAGATTAATTACTAAGATTAATTAAGTGACAAATAATATTTAAAATACGTTTTCTCTCTACTAGATTTTTCTAAGATTTCTTGCAGATTTACAGTGAATTATTTTCGCTCCATATTTTAATAATCACGAATCTTTGTCTGTTTTTTTACGATAAATACATGATAATTAAAAGTTGTAAAATTTTTGTATATAATTTCTTATAAATATTAACAGAGAAAAATAATACTATTTTCTTTATTTATACATACTCGTAAAAAATTCAATTTATAAAAATTTGTAACTTTTATAACCAATTTTTATAATATTGATATATATATATGGAGTGTCTCACAACTTCCGTGAAATAATTTAATAGAGTATTCTACAGATAAAATAGAGTCAAAAATTCTAATACGAAAATATTGAGGCTACAGTAGTTTTCAATTTATAAGCGATCAAAACTTGCGAATGATATCATTTCAATTAAAATTTGAATATCATTAAAACGATTACACGCACATGCATACATACAGCATGAAATATATTAGCATAATTTATATAAAATATTTTTTTATTTTAATTGTAAATATTGCAAAAATTATATTTATTAAATATTTAAAATAAAATTTGTTCTATAAGTTTGACATAAATAATATACAATTAAATATTGCAGAAATTATATTTATTAAATATTCAAAATAAAATTTGTTCTATAAGTTTGACATAAATAATATACAATTAATATTGTAATCATATAATTACATCATCATCAAAATAAATTAAAAATACAATTGATTTGTTTTATATAAATTCTTGACAAAAATATCTATAAAATAAATATCTGCTTCTCTCATATATAATTGCTCATATATTATATAAATAATTATTTCATTAGAAAGCAGATTTACATACCTCGACGTAGAATCTTTTCTCTGTGGAGTACTATGTTTTGAAGAAACAATTTCTTCATTTTGACTTTGACAATGTCCTTCCACAATTCGAAGAGACTCCTCGGTCTTAGAAGAGGAACTGGTATCAGATTTAGGAGTAGATCCTCTCCTTTCACAGTATGCTTCTCGTTTCGATGATATTATTTCAGTCTTTGAAGAACATTTGGAAATTTTCACTTCGTTCTTTGGCGAACCGCGTCCAACCCGCGGAATAGACTGCTTTCTTTGGTTATATTCATCGCACCTCGACACAGAACTTTGCCTGCTACTCCAATCTTCGCGACCGCCGTTGCTTTCCTGGGAATCCTCCATTGAATCATCTTTGCGGTGAAATGCAACATTCTGGTTGAAAATTCTGGAGTTATCTGCGAATCCTGAAGAATTTCCGCTCGCTTCAGTTTTCCGTCCTCCGCAAGAACACTGTTCGTTACCTCGTATTCTACTTTCGTTCATTTCCTTATTCGTGCCATGAATATTTTGTACGTTTGAATCTTTGGACGTTAAATTTTCACTGCTAGTTGTGCATTTTAAATCACTGGGAACTTTCTCGTTTTGATTTCTATTGCTAGAATTATGAGCTTCCTGACTAGAACTCGATGACTCTTTGGTGGCGGACTCATTTCTTGTGGTCACCGGAGCTTCGTTTGTTCTCGTATACGCGAAGCTATTGAATCTACTACTGGAAGAGTTTGCATTATTGAATCCTCTAGACGAATACATGGCTGGACTGCCAACCGATGTACCTGATGACGAGTATTTATCTAGATACGTTGACCAGGGTGCACCAGATATTCTATTGTTGCCTCCATACCTCGCGAATCTCGATGTTTCTTCCATTCGATCGCACTGCGTCTCTCCATCCATGGTATCCGGCAGTTTTCGAGATCGAGTCACTTCTTTTTGATGAACAATGTCGATTTCCGCCCGTTTGTTTCTGACATAGGATGAAGAAGCTGGAGGTGTCGGTGAAGTACTTCTGGTCATCATCGTTAGCGTCACAAATTCGCTGTCAGAAAGCCTATTGTTGCTTTCCTCCTCTTCCATTCGACTTGAAGTATTATACGCTTTGTGATTACCGTCTTTGTCAGAGATAGTTGCAAGCCTTGATTCCTCTTCGTCTTTCTGATTAGTAGACTTGGTACTCGCGTTTCGGAATCTGTCCGTCGCAGAATAATTTATAGTTGTAGGTACTCTTTCATTGCTTCGAGGTGAGAGAAATCGTGAACCAGCTGTCGAGCCAAATCTCGTCGAGATTGTAGTCGAGCTTGATTCGGATGTACCTGAAAAATTAACAGGTTTAAAAATAATTGCTTATTTGTGCCAATTTCGAGATTAAATAAACGAATAATATAATTTACACTTAATTATTTAGTTAAAGTTCATTGTCAACTTAATGAAAATAACTTTAAGAATTTTGAAACTTGTACTCTATTTTTTCTAATATTTCTTTTTAATATAAATTTAGAAAATATCTGTAAGATGGCTTAATAATAATAAAACTATAAAATTGAAAGGTATGCTTTTAATATTTGTTGTGATCATATTGTTTATCATTTTTAAACAATTACACTCACTGGGCGATGCTGCTGAGCGATTATAAGATGACGCTCTCGAATAGATCCTGAAGGAGCTTGCTTTTCCGACACCGACTTCCGGACTGGGCTCGCGTGACGTTTTTCCGGAATTGGAACGTAATCCTCTGTAAGAGACTGGCGGGTGATCCTTCTTTTCGATTCTACTGTCGCTGCTATAGCTTCGTGTAAAACTCGATCCAGGATATGTACCGGATCCGTATCGTGATATTCCTTCGGGCTCTCTGCTCTTTCCTCGCGAAGCCGGTCGGTTATATCTGTCCAACACGGAAGATGGCCTTTCCGATGTTTTGCCAGTTGAAAACGAGTATTTTTCAAAGAGAGAGGACCTACTACTAGACGGGCTTTTCACGCTCACGTCTTCAGACGACGATCTTCCGGAATGCAATCGATTTTTCTCAGCGTCTTTGGTATCTATGAGAAGTTTAAAGATAATATTTCTTTTAGATTGCGTAAAAAATAACGTAAAAATCATTTCCATAAAAATTATTGTAAAGAAATAATAGCATCTTACATGAATATTTGAATGTATTTTTCTCCTCAAGTTTATCTTTCTTGAGAAAAGCGCTCCCAAAACCACCGTACGCTCGCTCCTTGGTAGCAATTCGACTGGAATTTGATGCTACTCCGGAATAGCCGCTTCTGCAGCTTGGCATGTTTCCGCCGGAAGTATTCCTACCGAACGTGTTAGAAATACCAATGCCGGTTTTGCTCCGATATGCTCCTGTATCACTCTGCAAATAGAAAAAAATATAATGCACAATTTCCAATTATTCTAGTTTTATAAATATTAAAATTGTATAGAGTCAGATATTAATTTAGAATTTTTATTAAATTAATATGTAATTATATATCATTAGTTTAAATTTCAACTTTTTGTAAAAAATATTGTAAATGTTAGAACAATAATCTTTAAAGATTTCCATTTAGACAATAATTACATCTTTATTAAAAAGCCTTGAATAATAAATAACATTAAGTTTAATACATCAATCATACAAAAATAAATTTTAAAAATTATATAATATTCAAATATTTTGAGTATAAATATATAAATATGAAATAAATATATGTGCACATAAACTTTTATTTATACTACATATAATTATAAATATAAATCTTTTTAATAATTTATTTTCGAAAACAAATTGTTAGTAAATTTGATATTTTCTGTAATTTAAATCACATTAGTATTTTGTTATGTTGACAAGCTTTATCAGCCGCTTCTTGTGTTTACAGTAACGAGAAGAGATTGGACGTTAAACCAATAAGGTACTCACAAGAAATTAGGTTGTAGATGTCCTAGGATATTAATGATACTAAGGATAATACGGATAATGCATAGTTTGGATATTGCAGAGAAGATGCATCTAATGAACGTTTTCAGCAAAACTTCTTTGTTCAATAAATAAACATAAATCCATTCTAAGTGTATTATTATAACTCAAGAAGAGAAATGTCATCGATTAATTCTGTGATATAAAGAACATATAAATTAGAGAAATATTAATATAAAATATATGTATTTTAAAAGAGTATAAATAAAATTGTTTTGTTACAACTATTTTATTTTATTTTTTATTTTTTCAATAAAATAATGCATTATTATTAAATAATATTATTAAATAATATTTCCAATAATTTGAATAATTTACATTTTGATTGATATAAATAATCAACACTTACATCCAAATTATAGATAAATGAATTCCGATGTATGCATATACATAAAATAATTCTATAAAGTACATAATGATTATTAATATTTGTTTACGATATTGGTAATGGATTAAATCTTCTATTATATGCAATTGATATTTAGAGAGACATCTTGATAATCGATATATCTTTAATAAAATATTCAAACACTGTCTACTATCATAAAATTATCCTTTATATGTAAATCTAATTTTGCACAAATCAAATAAATTTATGTAAAATTGATTTAACTTAATTACTAACAATAAGCTAATAAAGTTTTGAACATACGTCCTCATTGGTGGCTTTCTATCATTAATCACCTAGTCTCTGGTCATAAATAGAATAAAGATGAAAAAAGGAAAAAATTAGCGGATGGGTGGACAACTACTTCCACGAAGTCTAAAGCAAACTAATACATCCGTGTGCGAAAACGAAAAACGATAATTCGTATAATTAACATAAATCTGGCGAAATGCCCCAATCTCGAAATAGACGGATCCTAACTCGGGAGTAATAACCTTAGCATTTCTCGCTCGCACAACGGGTGGCACAAATAATAATTTATATTTCTTCAACGACTCTTTAAAATATATAAATAAATATATAATAATAATTAAATTATTTTCAGATCTTTTTTCTATAATAATTAATAATTATAAATAAAACCTAATATGTAATTTTTCTGGTATTAATTTCACTATTAATTAATTTGAAAATAATAAGAAAGCGCACTTATAGAAAATCTTTACAGTTTATTTTCTCTGCTGCGATGTTTATAAATAATGCTGTTCATTATTATGTTAATAATATTCAATGCGATAATAAAATTATAATAATCGTTCTCTTTAAAAGCGTCAAAGTAATTTTTCCGAGCGAAAGCACTGCGCTACGTCGAAGATAAGTCCTTTTATCGCGTTATAGCTAATCCCATTATCACGTCTACGTCGATTTAAATTACGAAGTGATGATGTTTAATAACGCATTCCTTTTTAATCTAATAAAACTTAATTGCTCGATATATCGAGCAAATATTATGCAATAAAAATTACACTTGAAATAATGATTGTAGGAAATTAAAAATGTATAGGAAATACATATAAATTCTGAATACGTAATATCAACTAATAATAATATTAGACTAAATTATAATAATAAAATAAACTAAATTATAATATTAGAAGTTAATAATGTAAATTTTCTCTTGACAAATATAAATTTACTGATTGAAATATCGATCTGCAGTACTCACGCAAGAAATTAGCTTTTTGCCCATTTCTATCCAGAAATTTATAGCCAGTATATTCTGAGCAATTTCTGCCTTTTCTTTGCAATCGATCATATCTTTTATGTAGCAGAAAGAATAAGATAGAAAAAGAGAAACAGGGAGGAATAAAAAGAAGGAATTGATACAAGTAGTGTTTGCCAACTTCTTGAGCATGTTACGATCAATCTATCCAATATCAACCGACTTATTTATCGTTGCTTTGGGTTTACTAATCCGTCAGCATCCTTCGACAATGATAAATCTTCAATACAATTTTTATTATGTATGTCATCACATTGAAAGCAATATTGGCTCGAGTGAATTTGCCGATACTATTTTATCATTTATAAAAGTGCTGTTTACAACGCTCGTTTCATCGTCAGAAATTGCCATAAGTTGCTAGATAAATCGCTCTATTTCCGTCGCAAAAGCAATTGGCCTCGTTACACGTGTTCCCACCAATCTCTTTTTTCTTTCTTTAGAAAATACGAAGCAATAGAACGCCTTCATATAGACTTTCCCTCTTATCTTTATCGATGATATCGAGAATGATCGCGAGAAAATGTTACGAACGTGCGCACGGCTTTCTATCTCTACTGCGGTTATTTATCTTTTCATAACAACTCGCGGTGGGTGCACGACTTCTATGTTGCTTTTAAGACAACTGTTGCATAGCAAGACAATGCTGTAAAAATACATTCAATGAACTGCCACTGTACAAACTACAAGTCTATATCTCATAGTCATATCTTTACGTTGCAAGAGTTTTTTTTTCTTTAATAAAAAGTATCAATAATTTTATCATTTTCTAAAATTTGTGTGTTTCAGATTCATATTTTAATAGAAAATTATGGTTTTTAAATTCTTAAAAAAGAATTATAAAATGTAAAAGAATAGATATGCTTCTCTCTCACAAATATTCTATCCGTTTTAAGAATAGATTTTTTTTTGAAAGAATTTTAGCTGAAGTATAAAATACGCCGGTATTAAAACGCTTTTACAATGCTTTTTACACAAACTTATAGTGTTTGCACAATGACAACCGTTTCGTTGCAAAATTTATGTGTGCAGAAATACACATGACAGGATATCTGTCTGTATCAGCTCTGAAATTTTCAAGTTTACGCTGAAAATAGCAGAGCGAAAAAAGAACAACTCTCTCTATTCAGTCATCAATAAATCCGACGCAAAGTCATCACCTACAAACGTGAGTATACGTATTGTTGCATTACATTGAATACATAGAAGTAACAATACTATTTTTATATGTTATTTGCACTGATTTATATTTGGATGTACGAATATTGATTATTAAATATCATCAAATATATTTCCGCGTGTCGTACCATTAAGTCTCCATTCTCTAGAATTAGTTCTCTAGAATCTAGTATTGAAAAGTATTTTTATGAAGATTAAAAAAGAAAAAAATAATTATTACGAATTTTTATTTTTTTAGTTTAACAATTTTAGATTTAAATTATGCTTATATGCAAAGTAGAAAAGATAATTATATTGTTAAAATACACATGTGTTCAGACACTCTTCTTTTATTTATATAAATAATTATTATAAATAAATAATAAAGTCTGCCTCTCTTCTTATCTTTAACACGTACATGAAATATTAGATTGAAAATAATTAATTTTGCTTTATATCTTAATTGGACATTTTAATTCATTTTTTATTAGATAATAATAATTCTAATAATAATTCTATAAAATTCTAAAATAATAATAATTCTATAAAAAACATTTGAATATTGAATATCCAGTCCAAGAATATAATAGACAACAAAAAATCATTTTACAAAATATTTTTAACTATCACTTCTAAAATAAAATAAATGACTTAAATATATATGAGCTATTGTAAGCTTTTCTTTTCCATGACTTCGCATGTTAACGCTTCAAATGCTTCACTTGTTTGAAAGAAGTATTCAAGCTTACGACATAAAGAGACAGAGAAAAAGACAACGTTTTACTCGCGATGATACGGTACATTCTCAATGACACTGATGAGGATGTGGGCGACCGATGCATCGTAATATCAGCTTGAGGGGAGGCCAGATAATTGAGGAGTGTCAGTCTGATTTAACCTTTAGCGACTCGGTGCATTATTATAATTTATAACGCATGATGAGCTATCACGAGCTCGATAGAACTAAAATGTTGCTTAATTGCATTCTTAAATAGTTGAAATGTCGTTGATCCTTCTAGACCACCCGCTAATAAATTTGGAAAATGTAATCTTTCTTTTAATAGAAATTAAATCTTTTCTATTATTCATAAGTTTATAATTTTTATATTTTTTTATAAAATAGAAAAATTTAACAAAATTTGCAGTGTTTCGAAATACTTGGTAACAATATTATATATACAAATATTCAAATATTATATTCAATATTACAGTATCAAATATTATTCAACATATTACAGTATCAAATATTATTCAACATTACAGTATCAAATATTATATTCAATATAACAGTATGTATATATTTCTATATACATATTAATTATTTATTATTAATTAGTTACTTTTCAATTATCATCTAAATAATTTAAAAAGAATTAATTTCTCATATCAAAGAACCATGCAGTTTTCATCCAGTTACCTCACCAGAAAGCAAATTAGGTTACCTTCTACAACGGCGGTCTGTTATTTTACGGTTCACACATTGGGCACATGCCAAGATTTTCAGCACATCATGGTATGAATCGGGGAAGTAATTTCAGGAAGCTCTATCACACACGTGAACACGTGACGATT